GTGGGTAGCTAATGGGCACAAAGAGATGTCAGTGTCAAAGCCCTAACGATGGGAAAGGCTCGTCACGAGCGGAGGGAGCGGGCTGGGAGCTTACAAAGCCGACTGCACGCTGGAGCTACCCAGAGCAGAGATCGAGCGAGCGGCAGGCCCAGGTCTCCGCGCTCCGCAGACAGAACCATCCCAAGCCATGCGGTTGCCATGACAACCCCGGGTGGGGTGGGCCAGGGTTCGGGAGACGCTACTTGGAATGTTTCTTCTTCCGGTCCTCGGTGCTTCGCTCCCTCGGTCTCTCTCTCGCTCTCCTCGGACTCCGCCCACTCCGTAGGCCCTCCTCATTCTCGGTCTCGACTAATTTCCCCTTGCTCCCTCCCAGGTCGCCATCTTGACGCATGGCCCAAGATGGCGTCCCTGGAGTCCCAGAGGCAGAGCCCGGGCGCGCCAGTAAGGCCGCGCGCGCGTGAGCGGGTTTGGACGAGGGAGGGCGCGGCATGACGTCAAGACGTTTCCCCGCCCTCACGGCTCGCCCCGCCCCCCCCGAGGCCCACTCCACCTTCCTCCCACCCCGGGAACCCGGAAGTGGAGGAGGAGGAGGCGCGGCGGCTGTGGCCAAGCTGCAGACGCTGGCTGAGCCAAACCCGGGAGCGCGTCTGGGGTTGGGGGCGGGGGGCGGGGCTGAGCGGCCTGGGCAGCCCGGCCTGGCCGGGGCGGGGGAGGCCATGGCCTCGGCTGAGTTGCAGGGGAAGTACCAGAAGCTGGCTCAGGAGTACTCAAAGGTATCCACCGTGGGCGGGGAGCGAGGGGGTCCCTGGCCCTGCGGCCTCGGGTTGCTTTGGCAGCGACTTGTGTCGTGGGGGGACCCGGGGGGGGCATGCGAGCGCGCCCCTCCTCACCCCTCCTCCTCCTCCGTCCACCATTTCCATGCTTCCACCTGCAGCTCCCAGGAGATGGGGCCGGGCGGTGTCTGGTCCGTGTGCATTGCTGCAGATCCGAGCTGGAGTTTGATTCTCCCTCTCCTTGGCGTGGACTGGGATGCCGTGTGAATCCCGGCTTTTGCCTCGGGTGCTGGCCGGGGAGGGGCAGGGAGAGAGGTGGGGCCAGCCCTAACCCTCGAGGTTTGACCAGCCCAGGGGATGGGGAAAATCTGCCAGGCTCTCGTCCTGCTGGAATGGCTAGAGGATAGATATTTGTTCTACCCCCACCCAGATCCGTGTGGATAGATGTTTATCTACCCCCACCCAGATCCGTTTGTCTTTCCTGACAACTGTTTCGCCGGGGATGGGTGGTTACGAATGTATTCCATTCTGGTGCTTTGGCAGGATTCCGCCTGCAATGATTTTTGACAGCTTGAATGCTAGGGTTTGGTCCTTTTCCCTCTGTGGTCCTTCCTTCACCTGGCATAGGTTAAAGCATCCAGCTGGTGCTTCATACGTGTTGGATTAAGCAAAGTAAGGACCTGCCCTTTTGTCGCTGTGTTCACAGAACCTGCCTTTCTTGGACGAGGGTGGTGCAATTTCTCGATTGGTGTTTCTGCCTTATGCATATTCTGATGAAGTTATTAAAGTTGAATGTGACATCTTTGGAAGTTGATTCACCAGTCTAGGCTTAGTTTTCAATGAGCTTTACAATTTGGAGAGTTTGAAGCACCTTTTCCAAAAATCCCCCTTAAGATTTCATTGAAATGAATTTTTTTTAACTGTATTCTTTTTTTTTTCTTGTCTTCTTTTTTGTGTTCTGGGGGATCGAATCCAGGACATTGTGCTTTGCCACCAAACGCATATATAAAAGTCTGCAAGCAACATTTACACTCATCTTCACCATCCACTAGAGATAGCACACTTATTCCAATGTGGGCAAAACTGTTGCATTTCTGTTTGAAATTATCTTTAGATCCTGTGGCACAGTGTCAGTGGTAGCAAATTTTCACCCTTTGAAAGGAGAACTTCCTTATTTGAAAGAGCCAGAAGTTTAGAGCAAAGTCCATATGATGAAGTGGGGTAGGTGCAGGATGAGTGTTCAAATTTGTTTGTTATTTTTGACCGAAAGTAGTTCATGCATATGAAGTAATGGAATTGCTGGGGTTCCAGTGGCTTCATGCCTGTACTCCTAGCTACTCAGGAAGGCTGAGATCTGAGGACTGTGGTTTGAAGTCAGCCTGGACAGATAAATCTGGAAGATTCTAGCAAAAAGCCAGAAGTGGAGGTATGGCCTTGAGTGAAAAAGCAAGCAAGAGCAAAGGCCCTGAGTTCAAACTCAGCATTCAAAAAAAAAAAAGAAAAAGAAAAGTAATGCAATGGTTATTCTTTTCTGGTGAGTAAATGAGCTCAGACCGCAATTCCAAATAGAAAAAGGGGTTCCACAGGGTTCATTTATTATGGCTTGGTGAATGAGGGAGACTGAGTTGTTCCTGAATTTTCTGAGGTCACTGACTGATGTGGCCACAGGAAGGAGACTTCTGTTGGAAAAGGGGTATATTCAAAGTTAGATGTGGTCATAGAATTGAGGGTTGGAGGGCATGTTAAAGTTGTGTGGCTCACATGTTAGTTTTAACTGATGCTGGGGGTAATTGCTGAAAGTTTCTAATGGAGCTGAATTGGCTAAAAGTGAGGGGAAAGGCTAACACTTTCAGGTAATTCTCCTTAAGATGACCTTTGACAGTTAATTAGGGTAGCCATGTAGGAATACCCAAGAGAAAGATGTGCTGGGATAAAGAAATATTAAGGGGACTGTGATAGTAAGTCTCACAAACTTGGAGTCATCTCCTCAATAGAGCCAAATAGTCCTCATTCTTTTAGTTGCAATGTGAAAGGAACTTCAGAACTTAGAAGACGAGGCTGATTTCATGTGAACCATGCACTGGTGGCTCATGGTACTCGGGAGGCTGAGATTGGGAGGATCATGGTTCTAGGCTAGTCTATGCAGAAACATCAAGAGAGATTCCATCTCAATGGAAGAAGCTGGGTTTGTGGCATATGCCTGTCATCCCGGCCTCAGTGATGCCTGTGAAAAACCTAAAAGAAGGAGCTCACAGTTAGGACACATGCCTGGGCAGGAAGAGAGGTCCTATCTCAAAAATACCAGGATGAAAAAGGGCTGATGGCCTAGTGGAGCACCTGCCTAGTAAGTGCAGACAGAACTGAGTTCAAACCTCAGTCTGTTAAAAAGAAAAAAAGTCATGCATGTACTCTCTGTCAGTTTTAGTGCTTAGCAGTTTCTAGACAAGATCTATGTCCTTTGCATTCCTGTGCCCCTTTCCCTTTTTATTACCTCGCATGTGGCAGAAACTGTGGCTGATTTAGTTACGTTGTTCTTTTGCCTTATTCAGAATGCTAAGAAGAAAGGTTTCCTGTTAATCTATAGAAGGAAGCCTACAAATCAGGAGAAAAGCAGGCTTGATCCTAAACCCAAGGACATTTGCAGAACCTCATCTCAGCCTAGACTCCAGGAAAGGGCCCTTCCTTCCTTACGAATTGTAGTCATCATCTTTCCTACTGAGCAGTTTATACAAACCAAAACACTGTGCTCTGGAGGAGCTTCCATAAGAGTCTAAATGCAGTTAGATAAAGGATGAACTCTGGGGGTCAAAGCAGATGAGAATTATGAGGCAAACAAGTGGCTGAAACAAAGTAGTATGGAAAGATTAGTAAAAATGCAGAATAAGACTCCAGTAGTTTGGCAACTGAACCATTAGAGACTTAAAAAATACCAGGTTCAAGAGCTGAGCGTCAATGGCTCAGACCTATGATCCTAGCTAATCTTGGAGGTTGAGATCTTAAGATCACAGTTTGAAGCCAGCCTGGGCAGGAAAATTCCTGAGACTCATATCCACTTAACCACCAGAAAGCTGGAAGTGGAGCTATTGCTTAAGTGGTAGAATGTCAGCTGTGGGAGGAAAAAGCTGAGAGACAGCATTCAGGCCCTGACTTCAAGTCCCAGTACTGGAATGCATCCCCCGCGCCCCCCCCCCCAAAGAAAACAAAACAAAACACACACAAAAAAAACCAACAACAAATCATATTCGGTAGCGTTTGGAGAGGAAGAAGGTGTGTAGAGGCTGGTTTAAAATGTCAATGGGTAGAGTTGCAAGGGAACTCTAGCACGCAAGGGAAAGCTAATAAGGGCCTCAGTTACTGCATTGTAGTTTAATTCTTCCTTTATTCACTATACTCCTAATGACCTGTACTCAGTTCTGGCTCATTTGATTTTAGCTTGCTTTCCTTGAAGGAGCACTCTTGTCTGGCATCATGTGTGTAAGCATATTTCAGGGTCTTCCTAGTGTTTGTGTTACCTTGGGTCAGTGCTTCTAAAGTGTTGGTCCTGGCCCCCATAATCAGCATCTGAGAATGAGTTAGACATGCAGACTCCTAAGATCACCTTTGACCTGGACCTACTGAAAATTAGTAGTAGGACCTAGCTGTTGTGACAAATTGTTCTGTGTGCTGTATTAAGATGCTTTGTGTTGCTACAACAGAATTCCCAAGAGAGCTGATTTAGAAAAAGAAAAGATCACTGGGAAGGTGGCTTACTGGTAGAGTGCTTCCCTAGCATGCATGAAGCCCTGGGTTCAATTCCTTAGCGCCACATAAACAGAAAAAGCAGGAGTGGTTCTGTGGTTCAAGTGGTAGAGTGCTAGCCTTGAGCAAAAGAAGCTCATGGACTCTTGAGTGCCCAGACTCTTGAGTTCAAGCCCCAGGACTGGAAAAAAAAAAAAAAAAAACCCCAAAAACAACAACATAAAAACTTTAGTTTACAAGTCCACTTAGCATAATGTAACCTCAGTGAAGCCTGACTCAAATGTGCCTGGATTGCCCATGGCACCTGGTGAATGGCAATGGTGGGAACACAGCAGGATCAAGCACTTGATTATACATGGAACCGGAAGTAGAGAGGGACCGGGAGTCATGTGGCATCACAGCACACGTCCTCAGTAGCTTAAGGACGTCCCACAAAGAATCCCCCCCCCCCCCCCCCCAACTCGCTAGTTTACTCTCTTTGTTTTGGCTGTACTGGTTTGAACTTAGAGCCTTACTTTTGCTAAAAGGCACTCTTGTCACCGTCACCCCCACCCCAGCTCTTTTTTGTGCTTTGTTTTCACTTTCTGTTGTGATGTATACTTGGATTGAGATCTTCCTGTTTTTGCTTCCCATCATAGCTGGGATGACAGGTGCATGCCACCATATCCAGTTTCTTCCATTGAGATGCAGTCTCTCTTGACTTTTCTGCCTGGACTTGTCTAGACCCGCGATCCTTGTAGTCTCAGTCTCCCAAATAGCTAGGATTGCAGGTAGGAGCCACTGGCATCCAGTAAAGGTCCTTCTTCTTAAACGTATATAGTACCTCCAGTATGACCACGGAGGGACCAAGATTTTACATGGGGACCTTTGGGAGACACAACACCTAAACCACAACACATGCTAAACTTGAGTAGTATTCACAAAGCAGCTTTTGTTAAGGTTTGGACAATCTCTTTAGAGTTCCATGAGGCTGTGAAATACATTGGGGAAGCCAAATATCTGTTCCTTCTCTAACATTTTACTTTGCAATGGATACTTCTTAGTTATGATGATGATTGTCTTTGGGAACTTTTTTTTTTACTTACACTCTTAGTATAAAGCTACTTCTATTGGGAAAGGGTCAGTTGTGTTCTCTTGTGTTTGCACTCCAAATAGTAAGCAGAATCTGGTTAATCAGTCACTCTGCTGTAAAGGATCAGCCTCAGGAGCTAGGCTGGATGAAAACAAGAATACCAGCTTGTTTTTAACCTGGTGTCCTTGTA